TACAAATAGAGGCAGAATTTAAGAGAATTAGTCATCTTCTGTAGGAGAGGGAGCCTTCTTGCCAAAGTAAAGGCCGCTTGGCACAAATCCATCTTACTCACCAGAAGCCAACACCAGCTTATGTCCACTGCCTCCATTCAGCATAGAAGCTAAAGGATGGGAGCCATAAAGCTGATAAAAACAGCAACCAAGGTAATCATTTCAGAACAGTAAACCTGAAACTAAACCCAGAAGCAGGGAGTCAAGAAAAGTGGGGAGAAACATCTGGATAGAGTATAAGTCAAACCAATGGTACTCTGTGATCTTAGATTTCTCTTCCTTGTCTACTGTTTTTCTATTATTGGAATTTCTTTCATCATGGATATTTTGACTGCAGTGGGTCAATGAATTTTGGCTCAGCCATTATTGCATTTGTATGATAGTCCAGGAACCTCTTGCTAAACCAGTCTACACTCTAATGTAGTTTGGGCCACTGGCCTCTTAGAGATTGCTGACGCCATCATCTGAGTTGTGTGCATGTTTGTCCCATTTTGGGTCCAAAAGAGTCTCCAGACTTGACCATTACAACTACATTTCCTTTTAGCAATCTGTAGTATAACATTAAAAATGCACGTTACAATTAATCCAACTCTGTTTTCCCAACATGATAGTCTACACTTTGTCTTGAGAGCTTTGCATTGCCTCCAGCACCTAATACAGTTCCTCAAAGGTGGTGTGGGTTCCATCAATATGCATTGAATTGGAGAGAAGAACCATTGAGATGGAGTTGATGGGAAGATCTCTAAATTAGGCAAAGGGTGTTAGTCTTCCTCCATATATTTTCTTTCTCAATTTGAAAAGGATCCTGATTTTGTTGAAAAATAATTGAAAATATGAAAACTACATTTGAAGAAATCTACACAGCTGTTGATTTTTGAGATGAATTTTCCAGCCAACACACTAGATAAGTTGCAAGATCTCCTTTTTTTCAAGAATTAAATTTATGATCTTAGACAGACAAACTACAACAAAATATGAGCTCATAGACCCTGAGTTTGTTCAGACCATAGCATTATCCAAACTTGCTGGTGGATGCCCTCTTTTTGTAGCCTCAGAAAAACTTATTAACAAATATTGACTGTGTTGAGTCTCAAAAACACTGAAATAGGTTAAAAAAAATTCAAGTTGTCATGATTTTGACAGATTTTACTGGTTGGATAAAAACATCTAATGTCATAGACTCTGAAAGCATAAAAACTAAGAAGTGGGGCACCTAGAAGTCTCAGTCAGTTGAGTGTCCGACTCCTGATTTCGGCTCAGGTCAGATCCCAGGGTTGTGGGATCGAGTCCTGCCTCAGGCTCCAAGCTAAGCATGGAGCCTACTTGAGATTCTCTCTCTCTCTTCCTCTGCCCCTCTTACATGCAGTCTCTCTCAAATTCAAAAAAAAAAAAAAAAAAAAAGAAGAAGTGATTTCTGTTGATTTCTTATGGGTGATATTAGGTAAACAAAAATTAGAAAACTATTCTCCCTCAAACACTTCTAGGTCTGGGAAGTCAAAATAGAAAAAAGACATGAAATATTTGACTAAAAACAGTTATCGTTTAGGTTAGAATGCTTTCTCCTAAAAAAAAATATCAGATTCTACATTTTGTTAAATTTTTATATTACCCTAACCAAGCAGTTTATTTTATTATTTCCAGAGCATTTGATACTGTGCCATATATTAGAAAGCACATGGATACCAAAGGTCACGTTCCCTGCACTAGTCATTAACTATCAATAGCTTATACCATCTGCTATTCTTCATGTTCTAGAATCAGTAGCACAGTAAATATGTGTGTTTTCTTACATTAAACAATATGCCCTTTGGTATACTATCAGTCCTCAGAAAACCTAAATGAGATTGCTGATATATCTATGCTGGGCATGCTTGATACTTGGATACGTTGGATTTGTAAATTTAAAGTTTGAAGGTAAGTGTACTTGGAACACCTACAACAGCAGGAAAGTGCCAATATAGTCCGGTGATAGAGCCCAGACCAGATGGTTAGGGCTTGTGAGAGGTTTAAATGTCAAAATATTTAAGCATTAAAAAATCCTGTTAGGTAAGTAACTTCAAAACCTGTCAAAACTACACTGTTAATGGCTTTGTAATAAAACATGTCCCCGAGCACAGAGTGGAGGCAAGAAACAACTAAAGGTTTTACAACTGCTAGGATGTTTCTACTGGGACACAAGCAGCAGTTATAAAAAACATCTATCACGTAGTACACAATTGGCCAAACAGAACTTGTCCCTGATTTGGGTATTTCGGACATGGAAGTCTTAATTTAACATAGTGGGAGTTAGTTCCTGTTACCAAGGAGGCTATGGCTGAATCCTGGAAATGGGCAAAAATTATTCACACCTGAAACGAATCTTGATCTTATACCTACTTTATGTTAAGTACTTTAGAGTACTTACAAGAAGACACATATCTTTTTGGACTAGATATATTGCAAATATGTCACTACTACCAGTTTGGCATGTTGACGTTACAAGTAATTGAACAGCCTTGCCAAATCTCTAAAAGAAGGTTTTTAAGAAGCTAATAACCTAGCAAGATGAACAATAGTTAGAGACCTAATGGGATTACAAATAAATGAAAATCTAAGTTGAAGAATGAGGAATGCACGGAAATCTGCCAGAGATCTGAAGCTGGAGAACTGAAAGATCAAACAATTCTTTTCTAAAGGAGAGAGGAAAAAAAAAAAGTAGAGTCGAAAGGTTAAATAAAAACTGAAAAATCGTTCTTTCCAAAGAAAGTTAAATATATATGTAGGTGGAGAAGGCAAAGGATGGTAGGAAAAGTAAGTATGCCCTAACTTATTTTCTCTGATGCCAAGAATATATCTAAAGTAAATTTTTGATTGTATTATATAATACAATTGAAATATATCTAAAGTAAATTTCTGATTGTATTATATAAACAAATGTGCAAAGATACATTCAGGAAAGCTCTTTTGATAGATAAATTCAAGGGTTCTCTGTTTGAGGGAGTATATCAGATCCACCCAAAGTACTTTTTTGGAGATAAGGTCCTTCCCACTCCATCTCCACTAGAGGAGGGATCATGATCTGGAGAGGAAGGGATTTTAATGTTGAAAAGTCTCCTCTGACGATTCTGATTTCCTGGCCAAAGTTTAAATCCACATGTTTAAAACTGGTGATTTACTGAGCCTGTGAAAAGATCAGAGCAGATGTTTGGGAAAAAAAAAATTCACCTCTGGAAGACTCTCCCATTCCTGGAGCAGAAGAGGCTACTTAACTGGAAAGGGTCCCCCTACAAATATATTCTTCGGGGACTGGTGTGTGCCTCGTAGTTAAAGGAGCCTTGACGATGAGAGAGGGTCTTAGTAAAGCAAGAGGGGAAGGGGTTTAGTTCTGAGACTTTGACATCTGGAAAGGAACGTTTCTCCAGGTTGGGAGCCAATATCACAAAGATCTTCATATATCCCAGGAGGGAATTTCCTAATCTCTACATGGATAAATTTTCTTTACTTTTTCCCAGAAAAGGACCTTAAAATATCAGACAACACTGGGGATAGAAACTCAGAAGGGGTTTTCTTGGCTTGAGTGGAAAGAACAAGAGGGAGAGGTAAGGCTGAGAGCTGTTTGTATTCAGTGTTGAGAAAGGGGGGTGGGGGAGCTGTGAGAAGTGAGAGCACCACTGTGGGTGTTGTTTCTTAACTCCTACTGGCTCCCCTGAAGGTTCTAGTTTCCTGGAGCCCATCAGGAAGGGTGAAATGGTGAATAGTATCTCCATATAATCAGTATATTTCAATCCTGGAGGAGCATAGACAGGGACTGAATGAAGAGCCAGGAAATGGCCACTGTCTAAGCATGCCTTTAAAGAGTTTCACCCATTAGGTAATCCCTTTTGGCAATGTCAGTGCTTAAGAACAGAGGCGGGGAGAAGGAAAGCAAGGAAAACATAGATTCAGGCACTGGAGAAAGTCAAGGGAAGGAGGATTCACTGTGACCTCTCCGTGTTAGAGGGTCTAGGGGCTGGATGCCTGGGGTTCCTGCCTCCTTTCTGGCTGCTTGGGGGCCAAAGACGGTCTGGTTACAGGCTCAGTTCAACAAACTTCTCCCTCTAACACTCTTCTGCCCCCCCCCCCCCCCCCCAGCCATTGCAGAAAAGTGATCCCTCTGCTTTTAGCTCTGTGCCTTCATAGTTGGGTGTGTAGTTAGTGACCCAAGTGCTCACAGATACCCCTTTCTTACTCTCTGCTCTGCCTTGACTGAACTTGAGTCAGGCTTCTCTCCTCCCCACCCAACCCTGAACGTTAGCTTGCCTGCAAATCTGAGCAAGCACTAAAATGCACAACATGTTTCCTTGTTCGCTTACTCCCCAAATCTGTGGACCACAGACACGCATTCTTGTCAAACCCCGCAGGTCAGTCATGCCTTCGGTCTACTTCCTCTCCTCTGCCCAACTTTCCCTTGCCGCGTATTCCCCTTAACCGTATCAAGGCTTTTTTTGTTTGGCTTTGAGATGCTTACAGATTTCTGAGATCAGAGCTCTCTCTATATTGCAATAGCCTTTCTTTCTAATTAAAGTGTCTCCCTATCTAAGCCTGGATTTTGTATTTATTTTTTGACGTTAGCTTGTAGCTAAGAGTGATTTCAGGTAAGTCTGAGCCCCCACTGGTGGGGAATGAAGTCTTGGGGTCGGGGTATTTGCGTTTTTCTCGGGAAAGGCAAGGAGATCTGACAAGCTTTCTTTTGAACTTCAACTTTCCAAAGGGGAATGGATTTCTAAATAAGGAGGTTCAAGGCTGGCGCTCTAGGGGCCGCTGGCAGGGCCTGGGGATTGTTGGTTGGAAAGCTCAGTAGGGATCCCTGCTAGGGGCGAGGGGTGCGCTTAAGGAACGGTTTGGGGGAGGAGAAGGAGCAGCGAGGGATGGGACGGGCGGGGGCTCGAGTGGATGGTACGTGAAGAGTTACTGGAAAGGGCGCTTCCGTGGGCGAGCTGGGGGTGGGGAGGTGAAGGGTGGTCTCAGAGCCTCAGCGCTGGGAGGTCGTGGAGCGGCGGCACGGGCGGCGGGAGCAGCCGCAGCAACAGCGAGCGGGACGGAGTTAGGACCGCTCGGAGCGCCCAGGTCTCGAGGTAGCGTAAGGTTTGCAATCCTTCCACTTGCTGGCAGTTGCAGAAGATCTGCTTTTAAGTGAAACGTTCGAGCCACCCCTCTGAGGGCTGCGGCTTCCCGGGGCTCGCTTCTTTCTCTCTCTCTTCACCGGCCCTCACGCTCACTCTTTAATTTGCACGCACCCCTAAGTTTGCTGAGAGCTTGCTGCCCGCTCGGAGCCGCTCCGGCCAGGCGCCGCGGGCGGGGGCGGGGAGCCCGGGAACCGCAATCCAGAAGCGTCGTGGGCCATGTATATTTCATCAAATGGACTTTGGGTGCGTCGCGTCTCACAGCCATCAACGCTATGTGCAGTGACATTTCTGACTTGAGTGGAGGAATGCGCGAAGGAAGCCCGGGCGAAATTGTTACTAGAGGATCTTCTTGGCGCCAATGCTAATTGTCCTGATTTATGTCCCTTCTGACTAAGCTCAACGTCTTCATCTGAAATAAAATGAAAGCTGTGCCAAGCGGGGTAGAACCGCCCGGCCGCTGGTTCTGATCCCCAGAATCAGGAAATCGTCCTGCAGCTGAAAAAAAAAAAAAAAAAAAATTACAAAAAAAAAAAAAAAAAAAAAAGGAAAGAAAAAAATAGAAATAGAAAAAAAAAAATCCCCCAGTAAAAGTTTAAGGCGAGAAGTGGCAGAGGCAGTGGCGCGAGGAGGAGCGGAGGAGAGCCGGCAAGCGGGGGACTGGGCTGGCAAGACCTCCCGAAGGCTGCGATTTCATTATTAATATCACTATATTTTTGGAGGGAGAGGCACCTTTCTCATCCTCTCTTCCTCTCCGCCCACCCCTGCTCCCTCCCCCTCATCTACCTGTCAAAGTCACTGATCTTTTGCATTTCGGAAGAGGACGTCAACGGAAAGGAATTCCCCCTCTCGGCGAGGGCTCCGAGAGGGGGCGACGCGCAGGAGGCTCCCCCTCTGGGGCCCGCGACCAAGGTAATTAAGCGGCGGGGAGTGGCGGGCCGGCGCGGGGCTGGGGGTCCGCAGAGTCCTCTCCCACGGCGGGCCGGGCGCGAGCGGGACCCCGGGGCTGCTGCGGCGGCGGCGGCTCAGGTCCACACCCCATCCCTCCCGCTCCCCACGCGCCCGGGAGGAGGCTCGGCTGGAGCTGCCGCCGCCCGCCCGTCCACCGCCCGCC